AACTTCCCCATTTGTCATAGAGTTCATATACAGAGAAGAATGATCAAGGAAAAATGTGAATTTTCAGAAGATGTTTGGACTCTATATATGGCAGTTTTAGAATTTGATACCCTAGATATTTTAAATATAAAAGTAAAGACTTCCTGAAACCTGGTGACCATGTGGACACACCTATGTATTTTTCTAGGTCACAATATGAAAGTGGTTACCCATTCCCTTCTTCCTGGATGGGGATATCCATTTTTGCTTCCCAGTTCAGGCCTGGGGCTTCTAGTGGTCACCCATCCAAATAGTAAAGAGATCAGATCCTGCCTAGCTTTAGTTTTACAGCAGCCAAGGTTGCTAGATGGAAAAGAGTATCTATCTGAGATCCTGTTGCTATTCGAGGTTGAACCTGACATGAATTGCTAATCACTTTGGATTCTTGTAATTTAATCATCATTAAATTAAGCACTCCTAGAAAACAACTCTGCTTGCTAGCTATTATTAAGGGTAAGTGATCAGTAATGATGAGATTTTTAATCTAGCAGTAGTCAGAATACCAGACTACCTTACTCTGCTTTTAAGGAGCCTTTCCCAACCTGAACCCTCCAAGTGACTTGGTTAAATATAATTGGCCTGTTAATTTGGATATACGTGCACACAAACACACAGATTTGCTTAAGAATAAAGTTGTTCTGAAGGAGAAATTTAAACCAAGTAATAGACATCCCCCTATCAGTCTACCTTTTTCAACAAGAGGTGAAATAATAACTAAAAAAAAAAAATACTTTCCTATAGTTTTCCTAAATATACTGAAATTTCCATGTTTTAATCTAATCTGAACTTTAATCAACTGTTTAAACAGTACAGCTCTATACAAAGGTAAGTTCTAATGCATCAGTAAAATACATTCCTAAAGAAGTGGACATAGGATTTGAAGATTTATTATCCAACGGCCCTCCATACTTTAAATACAATTCGGAGGCAGTGCTTTGGACCTTGTGTGAATGCCACTACTTTTCTGTTACTCATTAAAGCAGGTGGAGGTGGGATGTTTAGTTTTTTCCCCCCACGCTTCTAAATCTGAAAAAGATTTTGCTGCTTTAACAAGTTGATTCATAAACTCAACATTTATCAATTCATTCAAAAGCTTGGGGGGGAAATGTTTTAACAGAGTTATGCTTCCACAAAACCTGTTTTTCAAACCATTTTCAAAGACTGCAAAGTCCTATTCTCAAGTCTACCCTTTGCCAGTTGATACCATTGACATCTCTTGGTACTACAACTTCCAGATTATTACACCACTATGGATTATGAAATTGATATAGCCGCCCATCTCACCACAGGTGACTCTGGGCAGCATACAACAAAAATTCCAAGAACTGATCTCACACCTCTGAAGGATGCCAGCTTCGCCTGGAGAATAAATACATCAAATTTTTACAGCTGAAAGTAAAATATATTTCCATCAAGCAAGCCTATTTTCACAGCGGACAGGAAAACAGCTTGTGGAACGTATCAAATTGCTTCTGATACTTACAGTACTTTCTTTTCTGAGTTATTTTATTTTTAACATTGCTTTGAAAAGCACCACATAATTATGAATGTAAGAAACAAACTTCTATGAGAAAGAATTACATAATTTATGTATAGTTTGTTAAAGACAATAACTAAAAATCCTTGCACTGGATCTTGATACTTTGTGAAAATGAAGGCTTCCTTTGGTTAATGAAGGGAATCGGCAGTGACTCTAGACTTGATACTTTGTGAAAATGAAGGCTTCCTTTGGTTAATGAAGGGAATCGGCAGTGACTCAAGAGAAAAACTGGAGTTATTTCTTCTGGTTTACATCTTCCAGTGCCACATATACATGCCATATTTTAGGAGAACCTTATTTTAGTGAATAATTCATCTGGGGAAGAATGGACCAACCAGGAGGACAAAGCTGGACTTTGAAGAAACAGGATAGGAAGAGCATTGACGCTTTTGAACGTGGATGTTGGAGAAGACTCCTGAGAATACCATAGACAACTAAGAAAGTAAATGTTTCATCAAAGAAATCAACGCAGAGTTCTCACTCGAGGCACAAATGACCAGGCTCAAATTATCCTACTATGGACACGTTCTGTGAAGATCTAACTGTCTGGAGAAGGCTCTAATGCAAGGAAAGGTGGAAAGAGAAGATGAGGATGACCAGCAGCAAGATGGATGGACTTAGTTACAGTAGCGATGAGTGCACCATTGGAAGACCTGAAAGACCAGCTTAGGGACAGATCATCATGGAGAAAACTGTCTGTCTGTCTGTCTGTCTGTCTGTCTGTCTCTATCCATCCATCCATCCATCCATCCATCCATCCATCCATCCATCCATGAGTCAATAACAACCTGATGGCACATATTCAGGAGGACAAATTGGCACAAATGTGCCTTCTCATAATTTCCTCTAGTACTTTGTCCATAAAGTCAAGGAGATTCATTCATGAAAAGCCAAAGTGTGTGCAAATTGCTTTTAGTCAATAGCACCGTAAAAGGAAAGAGTCAATATAAAAGGTTAGTTCTAACTTAGTACTTTTCAACCAGTAGTATGTTAGTGTATAGAAGTAATCTAAGTGGATCTTAGAAAAGGGCGAAGCAGTCAATTTTAGGGTGTTTTGAGAGTAAAGAAACTGAGTGTGACTTGGATTTTCTGCAGTCCAGGACTGGAGTGTGTTCTGAAAGTTTTGGATTCAGGAGGCAAAATTAAACATTTTAAACTACTTAGTTCTCATTTGTGTTTGCGTGTGTTTGTGTGTATGAGAGAGATTATTTGGGTTTAAAGGAACATTGCTCCTCCAGTGGCAAATAGTGCTTCAGTCCTAATTAGCTTTCATTTTAAGCTATAATAATAAAATTAACATATTATTACTTTGTTTATGTTCTCAAACTGACTATAACTGATAACAAATCATCTGAGAACATGTATATATTCTCAGAAAAAAGTTTATTGTTTTGTTTTTGTTTATACTGGTTGAATGCAGAGTAATTAACTGCTGTACTTTAGGATATGAAATACTGAAAGCCACTAATTTAGCTAACCCAACATCCTATCTCCTACAACACCACAGAAAACCACAACTAGCTAACCACATTTTAGCCTAGCATGTAGTATGAACCCAGCTAGTTTGAATAAGTTATGGATGACTTGTATGTAGAAAAGTGGGATATTTCAGTAAACCATCATTAGTTTAACCATAAGGAAGCATATGATGTGAATGTAGTCAAGGCCAGCTAAGTAATTCCAGAAATTCTAGAAACAAGGTATAAGGCTATTACTTCTCAGATGATAGCATGTATCTCTACCATCCAA